TACTATTTTATTTTTCCTTTTATAAGTGATACTTAACATAAAGTTACAGTAAATATGGTCGTTCAAAATCATGATGTATCATATACATTATTATTAAAATAAAAATATATATATTATATAAATATTTTATCAAATTTATAAAATTTATATAGTTTAACAGTGTAGTTAAATTATTTTTCAGCAAATTTCTATTTATTAATATTTAACAGTAACACTTCACTATATTAGAAGTTGAATGTATTTTTCTAAAAAAAATGTATCACTTTTTTTTGGGTAAGGAAGTATAAGATCGCGTACTATGACTTTCATGTCTATAACATCCACAACGATTTCTGTTCGTAGTTGGCTTATCACTTGAGTTTTTTTTTTTCGTGACCTTCGAAACATTCTTTTGTATTGTGATGGCAAGACAAATTTCTTATCTAGTAATGGAACCATTAAATCTTTCAAAATTACTTATTTACCTTTCAACGTAAACAACATAATGTTTCATCAGTTGGCTTATTGTTTCTATTAAATATTAATTTGACTAATTTATAATATGTAGTTAGAATTATGTATCAAGTATAATTTTACATTTTTATGTATCATATTAAAGCTTATTGTTTTTATTAAGTATCAATTTGACTGATTTATAATAGTTAGAATTATGTATCAAGTACAATTTTACATTTTTATGTATCATATTAAAGCTTATTATTTTATTGAGTATCAACATCATTTTTTTCAATTTCAGAATATCCGATACTTTATTATTAGTAGATACAAAATTTTGAAAAAAGATATTATGTATATGATATATCGTTGCTTCAAATGATACCTTTTTTACATGTCGTCTCTTTTAACTTTGTCACACAGCGTAATTATTGATACTATTATTCTATCTAATACAAAATTTACAAACAATTAAGTATTAAACACACAATAATGTATACCAAATTAACTTTATCAAAAATTAAGAATAAAAAAATGTAATCACAACTGAAGTCATAACATTTTTAATAGTTTAACAGTGTAGTTAAATTATTTTTCAGCAAATTTCTATTTATTAATATTTAACAGTAACACTTCACTATATTAGAAGTATTTTTCTAAAAAAATGCATCACTTTTTTTTGGGTAAGAAAGTATAAGATCGCGTACTTTGACTTTCATGTCTATAACATCCACAACGATTTCTGTTCGTAGTTGGCTTATCACTTGAGTTTTTTTTTTTTTCGTGACCGTCGAAACATTCTTTTGTATTGTGATGGCAAGACAAATTTCTTATCTAGTAATGGAACCATTAAATCTTTCAAAATTACTTATTTACCTTTCAACGTAAACAACATAATGTTTCATCAGTTGGCTTATTGTTTCTATTAAGTATTAATTTGACTGATTTATAATATGTAGTTAGAATTATGTATCAAGTATAATTTTACATTTTTATGTATCATATTAAAGCTTATTGTTTCTATTAAGTATCAATTTGACTGATTTATAATAGTTAGAATTATGTATCAAGTACAATTTTACATTTTTATGTATCATATTAAAGCTTATTATTTTATTGAGTATCAACATCATTTTTTTCAATTTCAGAATATTCGATACTTTATTATTAGTAGATACAAAATTTTGAAAAAAGATATTATGTATATGATATATCGTTGCTTCAAATGATACCTTTTTTACATGTCGTCTCTTTTAACTTTGTCACACATCACAATTATTGATACTATTATTCTATCAAATACAAAATTTACAAACAATTAAGTATCAAACACACAATAATGTATACCAAACTAACTTTATCAAAAATTAAAAATCAAAAAATGTAACCAGAACTGAAAACGTAACATTTTCATTTATCATATCATAAAATAGTAACCTAAAAGTATTTCATAAAGTATCTAATTTGACAATTATTAGACATGAAGCAGAAAAGTACTTCTAAAAGCAAGCATCAAGAATCTTTCGGGAAGAAAGTACAGGTTTGCGTCCCTTTTTTCACCTTCAAAACACACAATTTCACCGGCTATTTCATCAAAATTTTGTATCTTTTCATCACTTTTATCCGATGTATCAATGCATAGTGAATACATACTGAATCCTACCTCATGTTTCTTTATTCCTATGCACAATTTCACCCCCATATCATTCCGAATACATAATGTAGACAAATTACCTTCAACAATGTATCTGATCTCGATGTTTTTTTTTCAATTCATCAATACCCAATTCAGCTGCAATTGTTGAAAAAATATTTACGAATGAAATATTTTCTCCAACCACTATCACATCACTTCTATATCACTCGTATCTAACATCACTTTTCCATGATCCAAAATGCTTTAACAAGATCAAAATATTCATTTCGAATATTCACAAAATTGCGTTTCAAAATTGTTTGAATCAAACTTTTATGTTTTTTCGTAGAACGGGAGAAGATTTCACAATTTGAAATTTAAAAATTATAATTCAGTTAGAGGTTTATGACGGATTGGTTGAAGGAAGAAACGTACGCGTGATTTGTGGGAATTAATTAATTTTTATTTTTAATCCCTTATTTAATGCTTAAGCTGATAACAACAACTTAATAATTTAAGTATCAGCTGTTATTAATTAAAGTATCTGTCTACAATATTATGTATCCGAAAAACACTAAAAAGAGATTTTTAATAATTAATGAAAAAGTAGGAATAAAAAATAATTTTTTTCTTATATTATGTGATTTGCCTAATTTTTACTTTAAGTTAAGCGTAGATTTTATAAAATATTTAAATTTTAGATATCTGAAATAGGTAATTTGACGAGAAAAAAGAAATAATTGTACAAATTTATATGTAATTTCAAAGTTAATCATTGATTCAAACTCTATTAGCTTTGCCTAACAAGGTGGTAAACTGGTCGAGTCACGTCAATATCCAACTTTGCCTTTTTTAAATTAACTTAATACTCCTTAATAAAAATAACTTTTGGATTTTAGTAAAGAAAAAAATATAAAATTATTATATATATGTTTTTTTTTCTACATGGTGAAATTAGATAGCATAATATTCCACTAGAAAAACAAAAATGAGGACTGAGACCTTATATAGACATCAACATTTCATATTGAAGAACTTCGACATGTGCTTTGAATTTTTTATTGTTGGTTATAATTTTTCCAAGAATTAATGGTTTAAAAGAAAAATATAACAAGTCTCATCTCTTAAAAGTAGTTTATAAAATATAATTATTCAATCAATTCAAATTTAATATGTTGTTGACTTTTTATATATTAATTTAACCAATTACATTCGAAAATATATTTTTTTTGGTTGTTATGTAACATTATCATATAAGTTCTTAAGCAAGTTATAAGAACAAAGAATAAATAATTTGAAATGTAATAAATATTGAACGTATTGAATTACAACTCGTGTTAGCTTAGTGAATTGATCAACTAATTTAATATTTCATTTTAATAGTTCAAATTCAATCTAGCTTGTTCATTTAATATTTAGATAATAAATTAATAGTTTGTAAATTCACTAAAATTTAGCTAGAGAAAAGTATATGTTGGGAGCAATAGATGAGTATACATTTATTAGATGTGGGAAAAGTATATTTTATTATAGAAGAAAACAAGAGTTGACTTGACTTAGAATTAGAATGAGTGAATGGAAATAGTGGAAGAATAGAGACAACTTAATTACTAGGTAACTAGATTTCTTGTCCTTGATTGAAATTTTTTCTTTTTTAAAAAAGAAAAACAATTGGAAAATTATACTTCCGTCCTCCTCTATTTTAATTTATGTGACATTTTTTATTTTTCGAAAATCAAACAGTTTAAGTTTGATAGAATATTTGTGCATAGAATCTTCTAAATTTCTTAAAACGATTTTTATATATTTGTAAACTGTTACATTAACAGAGTTTTGACATGATCACTAATTGACATGATTCTAAAAAATAATTTATTACATAAAACATTTCACATTAGCATATTCAAGAGGTGTGATGTAGAGGGTTATTGATAGTTTCACCTAATTCAAGTATTAGTAATTATTTTCACTATATAAAAAAAAAACTTCACATGGCTCTAATTAATGAAATTTTGAAGACAAAACTTTATAAATTTTTTAAATAGAAAGAAAAAAAAAGTGAAGTCATTAATTTGGTCCTTTGAAGACGTTATTTTGTTTTCCATCTCACCTTCTTGATTACGTCCACATGCATTATATGTAATGCAACGACTCTTGGTGAATTCATGAAGATATACTTATTAAAGCATGTTCGGTATGATAAAAAATATTTTTTTGTTTAATTTCTTATGTATTTGACATCTTTTATAAGCAAGTAAAATATTATATTATCTCAAAAATATTTATGTATAATATAGGTAACACTACGTGGGGTGGGAGAGGTGGTCAAAGGGTGATGATAGGGGAGGAGACAATGAACACGAAATATCACTTAAATAACTTATTTTTCATATTCATTAAGGAAGTGAGGATGATCTCACATTGAACCGGGACGAGATCCTTGAACTCGTTATATTGCTTGAACAATCTTTTTTCTTCTGGATTAAGTTTTTAGGATGTAAGTTAGGTCTGAAATCTATTCCTTAATATGAACTAAACACATATTTAGCGTGGATGATTTCACATCAGACCAGAACAAGATCTTTAGACTTCTGATATATGGCTTGAACAACCATCTCCATTTAACTAACTTTTGCAGTGTAAATTTCATGCGTCCAAAGTCCACTTTATATCATAAAATCTTTTTATCATTCTTAAGAAACTTATTTTACTATTTCCATGAAAAACATTTTTTAGAATATATTTTCTTCCGTTCCAAAGTCCACCGTTAATGACTTATTATATTGTCATCTTCATAAGTCATACCATATTGATAATTTTAATCATTCAATTGTCCTAATCTTTAATGCGTGTTTTTTACGATTTGCAAATGAATATATTTCTATTTCCACCCTATAAATACCTTGAAAATATAAACTATTTTCCTCAAGGCAATTTCTCAAGCATTTCAAACATTACAAAAATAAAAAAACATCTTTATTTCCAGGAAATAACATTATCTCATCCTCAAATCAATATTTATATTCCCTTTTTTAAACCTAGAGAATGAATAAGGTAATTATATATTTTAAATGTGTTTTTATTTTTTACTAATTTGAGTCTAGTTTTAATTGAAAAAAAGTATCTAGCTAGCAAAGTGGCAATATATGATTTTTTTTTTTAATCATGGTATTGTTAAGCTAAGAAAAATGGTATCTACCTAATATTTTTTTTCCGTAAATCTTATATTTATATGGAAAAATTCATAAAATATATAAAAACTATTCATGGCGAACTTAGTAACAAAGTAAATATTTCCTCTATTTTATTTTTTTTAAAAAAACAAACTATATTGGTTCATTTACTAATGCATGGTATTATAAAATTTGGGCAGCAAAAGGTTGTTATTAGGTTATCCCTAAATGGTCATGATAAAAAATCAAGGTCCAAGGCTTTCAAAATTGCCGTTTCTCAGCCAGGTATGTACAATACATGTCATAAATTTATTAGCTAGGTGCATACAATCGGTCCTTCGTTTCATTTTATTTGATACAATTTAAAAAACGATGAGGTCAAACCTACCCTATTAGGTTAACCTCAAATAAAAAAAACTTTGTATATGTGTATGTAGCGGCTTGCCGAGCATTTGATAAACTCACACCATCCATTTCAAATAGGATTTGTCCCCTGGACACACGAGCAATCCAACCCGTAGGATTTCCTTCCATTCGGGGTTTTTGTCCAGTACCTCTCGCTTCTCGGAAAAGAAATCCATAAAGTCCTCGGTAGGATTGGCAGCATCCCCCCTCAAGGCACGATTCCGAGAAAGAATCTCTTGAAAGAGAAAAAAACATTCATGTTTTCGTATATTTTAAAAGTACACCTCAAATATATATCTGTTGGATTTGGATATTGAATCGTAGCCACTTTATAATTAGGGGGTTCATCTAAATCCCATTCGGCAGAAAATTATGTTATAATATACATGGTTAAAATAATTTTTTTAGTATATATAGTAAATAATGAACCCCTTTCCGCTACTTCGTTTGTTTATCTTTTCAGATTGTGAACTCCCTTATTGAAAAATCTTGGCTTCGCCACTTCTTTAGACCCTCAAATTACTTCAATTAATGTACTAAAGATAGTGATGCACCTATCATGCTTAAAATCCTGAGTCCGCCTCTGTTCGCTAAATCTTTCAAAACTCCTATTGATTTTTCTATGTCCCTCTAGGTGTGAATTCAGCAGCTATGAAAGGGGGAGAAAATAACCAATTAGAAGTGGAGGGGGAGCAAATTGATGCAGCTGTGCTAACCAAATTGCTGAGGAAGAAATTGAAGAAAGGAGCAGAGTTGTTAAGTGTTGGCCTTATTGACAAGAAAGATGGTAATAAAAATAATGATCCAAAAACAGAATTAGTTCCAATGATGCAATGGCCAAATCATGTTGTACCTCAATATCCATTTTACGAAGTTACACAATCATATCAAGGTGGTTGCTCAATTTTATGAAAGCAGTGTTGATTTATCGTCACAATTCATAAAGTAATATATTGTTGGGTTTTAAAGGCGTAAATAGGAAGTGAAGGGTTGTGACTCTCCTGAAGGGTTGTGATTTTTATGAAAGGTTGTGTCTTTTCTTTAGGGGTGTGACCGTTTGAAGTTGTGCCTTTTCTAAAGGGGCCTTTCTGAAATATTGTCTTTTTTTCCAAATAGTTGTGACTTATACCCTTTGTTGGCTATAAATATAAAGACTTCCTCTCATTTTTCTGTATTAAGTTATTCCGCTCTTCTGCATATATTTCTTACAAAACAAAATTGATCGATCGTGTATGTTTATCTGATCTCGTTGCTGTCTTTTTGAGTTCACTGAAATTATTGAGATTTGAGGTATCACTACTTCTTTAATGGTTAATCCGTTTTATCTTGGGAGGAAGTAATCTGCAACCTCGGGATTGAGGGGATGAAATTTCTTAAGAACACATAGTAAATTCTGTGAACTTTGATAGTTCTTTTCTTTTTCTTTTCATCTTTTATTATTTCTAATTTGTTAATATGAATACAGGAGACAATATTTATGAGTTTGAATATGAAGTTGATGAGTTTGAACTTATCCAAGTTACCATATAAATAAATAAAATAACTTACAATAACGTGTAACTCTTTATACCAAGTCTGACACAATAACTTAAAATGTAAAGTAACTATTTACTATATATAGTCAGGCAGATTGCTTTCATAGAGTTAACATATATAACTTAAATCGTTACGTTACGATAATTACTAGTAAAACTTAGCAAACCAATTACTTACATGCAAAAGAAAAGGGAGATTTAAGCAAACCTATTTTTTTTTCTTTTTGTGTTGCCAATTGGTATTGATGGATCTGCCTGTCTCCTCTGGTACCAACTAGGAAGAGTGTCAATTTTTTTGACAATACTGTTCTTAGTTGGCATCCAGGGAGCCAGGCAGAACAATTTCATTTCTTGGACTTGGATATATATATAGAGATATATAAATATTCCTGCAAATTTTCACAAAGAAAATGTAACGTTAACAAGTTAACTCATGCATCCTAAATCAACATAAGTGTTACTACTAGAAGAGAAACAAATTAAGCAATATTACATTTGATTCATATTATGTCTTATTTATAATAATATTTGACTTTATCGCTCTATTTGGAGAAGTATGGGTGATTTTGAAGAGTCAATAAAGTTTTTTGAAAAAATCAAATACTTAGGAACAAATTTAACTTCCAAAACGACAAATAGTACAGACTAAAGTAGTAATCGAGTAGAGTACATAATAGTCGCGAAATGAAGTGACTCTCACCTATACCTTATTTCGTAGTTCTTCCTTTTACTTCACTCGTTATCGCTAGACTCCACATATCTCATGAAAAGTGATCAAAAGAATAAATATATTCAGAAGAAACTCGATGAATGTTTTCTAAGAAGGGTTTAACGAAATATTTAAAGGCCTAGAAAAAAGGCAAGACAACACAAAATCCAAGCACAAGGGTAGTAGACAAGCCACTTTGGGCAGCAGACGGCAGATATGCCTACAAAATGCACATGAGGGGGGTCGATATTATTTAATGATTATATTATCTGGTGATAAAACCAAACAAATTGTGTGTTGGTTTGTGTATTTTTAGGAGTTTTGGACTTTTGCTTTTGATGTGAAATATTCATATTTACTACTCATATAAAAAAACAATTCACTCCCATCATGATTAACTTTTAGGAAAAAAAATAAGTATATTAGTTTAATAAGTAATGACTAAATAATTGTCCCTAAAGTATGTCAATTTTCTCATGAACTATATAACGAATTTACCCTTTTGTTTTAAAAATAATATTTCTTAACTACGGAATACATGATATTATCAAGTGCTAAAATTCTGCTTATTTGAAAATAAATGTAAATTTAAGCTATTTAACTTATACGAAAAGACAAATTTACCCTCCATTATTTATAAAAGACAAATTTATTTCATTTCGCATCGTTTTTGAGAAAAATTGACCATTTGCCTAGTTCAATTTGAATATATTTGGGTTACAAACTTACTTTGGTACTACAAATTAGTAATTAGCATGATTTTTGACAAGGCTAAAGCCATTGAATGGGACAAATCTAGCCTTGATTGGGGGCATTTGACGGATCATTTCATGGTCATAAATCATTAATATATATCATTTTGAAGATAATGATAGTAAGTAGAATTAGGTTTCATTTAAATATACATATAAATATTAATTAATATTTGTATTAAAATTTAGACGTTTAAATCTAAATATATATATGTATGATTATTTAGATATTATATGCAAATTTGATTATTAAATAATTAAAATTGTTTCATTTTTCAAAAATCTCAATGTATTAAAGAAAATCTTTTAATGATTCATGATTATAAATTTCAACAGGATATTAAATTAATCTAATATTTGTTGTATTAGCTCTGAGTGTTATTTTAAACCATAATTGGATTTTCCTTTTCCTACTTAGTCTTCCTAGTGGTCTTTTAACATTTGGTGGCAATACGATTTGCTCCGACATATACTTCAACTTAAGATAAGAAGTTTTATATCGACTAAAAGAGATCTCGATTATATAAGTAAGGAGATAATACTAACTAGTGATGCCTTTAAAAGGCGTGCGCACCTAGGCCTACTAGAGCCACACATATGCCAACTTTGTCAATGGAATCTACATTTCAATGAATTTAGACAAATTAATCATGATAAGGCAGGACAAACCTCAATGCTAAGTTTAAGAAAATCACATATGGTAGGGGCGAACCTCAGCGAGGACGCTGAGTCCATAGTGAACGAATATGTGACACCCTAATACTATATAAATAAGTAGACTTTACCAACTATTCAAAGTGAAAAATATCACTAAAGGAATGGATAGTTTAGTACAAAGACATATACTCCTCTCCATGTAAGTCGCCATACACATTAGTATTTCATTATCGTTAAATCTAACTTATCAAATCATATAAGTCACGTTTTATTATTTTAAATGATAATATATATTTTTTCATTGAAAATCTACACTATTTGCATACTTCATAAGGATATATACATCCTATCCTTTCTATATGCCTCATTTGTAGAATTACACTGAATATATTATTGTTATTTAATTGAAAAAATTACGCGATTAAGCAAACTTATACTATTTAATTACATATCATATCTATAGTTTACTAGAACTACCCCTCGCGACTAACATTATGAATTATGTGGCTGACTTCGAGTTTGTAAAATTAGTCACGTTTGTATATGTATAATTTGCCAAAATATATAAATACATATGTATAATATACAATTATCTCATCGATATACATATACAAATCACCTCTCTCCCACTTTTTTACATCTCTCGCTTGCCTCACTACAAAAAAAAAATAGGGGATTAGTATGAAAATTTGCAAGAATGAATTTTCCTACAAATTTTCATGCTAATTTCCAGGGAAATCTCCATATAATTCACAGTTTACTTGTAGTGACTCTCCTACCTCTCCTAATCTCGCTAACTTCTCTCTCCCAATCTCGCTTGTCAATATATACAAGTGCATATGTATAATATAGAATTATCTAACTTATATACATAGACAGTTCACCTCTATCCACTCTCTGCCCTCTCTCGCTTTCCTTTCTCCCAATATCGCTTGCCTCTCTCCTCACTCTCCCAATATTGCTCGCCTTTTTCCTCCTTCTCTCAATTTCTCTTGCCATATATACAAATACATATGTATAATATACAATTATCTAACCAATATACATTTACAATTCACCTCTCTTCCACTCTTTGCCCTTTCTCTCTCCTCTCTCATCTCTCTCTCCTAATCTCACTCGCCTCTCTCCTTTCTATAACATGTAGCTACAAATTGTAATAATCAAACTATAGCTATTGAGAATAATTAGACTATTGTTGAGTGCTATTTTTGAGTGACTATATGTGAAAATTCTCCTATTTAATTTGTATTAATTAACTAGAAAAAAGTAATTAATATCTCTTCCTAAAGTTCGGCTTTTAATAGCCATAAAGTGTCAAAATCAATTTTATAAAAGAAACTCTAATTTAAAATCAACATATCTATCTACTTTCAAAACAGAGCTTTGATGTCATATTACAAATTTGAGAAATACAAAAGCAAAAAATCTTGATCCAAAAAAAAAAAAAGATCTCAACAAAAAAAAATTCAGAATTACAAGATAAACTTACAAATATATAACATACAAAATTCAGAAACAAAATTATTAATACACACTGTTTCTTTTTATAGTAAGCAAAATTAAATCTATTTCAGAAACATAAAAAACTTACATGTAGAATTTCATCTATCTCCATAGTTGAAATAAGATTGAATACACATTATTACTTTTCATAATTATTATTTTTTTTGAAAAAATCTCTAAGAAGTATAAATAAGAGTAATGAGGATAATCAACTGACTGAGAGTAAATTAAGGAATTTGATAGTTTCAAAAGCCTATATTTATGGAAATGATATTTGGTCAATTAATTCAGTTATTGTATTTAAAGAAATTCATTTTTTATAATTTTCATTTCATTTATTTATTTGTTAAGTATTGTTAAAAGTCTAATGCTAGATATTGAAATTAGAAAATCTTGTTAGAACTATCAATATTCACTCTTAAATACATTACTATTTAGGCCTCATTTGTGTGGGTCTGAATCTTAATCATTCATATTCAGCCAGTACCTTTTTTTGTAGGTCTGAATCATACATATTAAACTCATTAAGTTCATTTATTTTATTTTTTAAAAAACCTCATAGGTCAGCTTTGAGCGTGCCTTCATGACTAAAAACTTTCTTTCTCTTTTTTCTCAATCAAACACCAATTTTTTCCTATAAGTTTTCATAAATCGTTTCAAATTTTTTTTATATTAGTAATTTTCTTGTATTGACGCGCGTCGAGAATACTGGTTGCAATAATATTTTTAATGTATTATTGGTTATCAAGATTTTGAATGAAAAATAGTATTTCAAATCATGATTATTAAATTTGTAAAAAAAACTTTAATCTACAATCGTATATTTTGTTGAAATGAAAATTTTACAATATTTTATTAATACAATGTTTAATTTCACTTTTATATTCAGATATTAAAAACAAACAAATTAATTATTTAGAGAATACGTCTTAATATTTAGATGTGTATTCAGATCAAAAATCAGATCTTAACGCAAATCTTAATATTCAGATGTGTATTCAAATACAGATCTATTAATCTTA